AACATGAAATGAGTTCCCTAAGTTAAAGTAATATCGTTATGCCACAATCACACGGCAAAATCTGCTCCTTGAAAGCTAACCAAATTTAGTTTGAGTTGAATTTGGCCACTTAAGCTGATTAAGCTAATAATTGCCTAAGCTAATTAGTTAGTGGATCAGAAAAGAGATGGACGGGGAAGGACAGATAGAGTAAGAGAGAAGCTTTCTTCAAGAGTGGTAGAAGAGAAAGTCGGAGAAAAGAATGGAGAATATGATAAAAATGAAAGCGAATTGAAACTCATCGTATAGTAAATGAGAATTGAACACTTAGTTGTTTTAGGAAACCTTTTTTTTTTTTTTTTTTTGAATAACTTTTAGGAAACCTTAACATAAGTGAAACCAATATTGTTAAGCCACAATTACTCACTTGGAAGTAGAGCAAGATTAGTTTGTGTTAAAATTGGCCACTTAAGCTAACGAAACTATTAGTTGCCCAAACTAACTAGTTTCTAGAACAAAAGAGAGCGCCACAAAGAAGGGCAGGGAGAGTTAGGGTGAAAACTTTCTTCCTGAGCGCTAAAAGAGAAAGTGAGAGAAAAGAAATGGGAAATAGAGCGAAATTTTAAGCGAATTGAAATTCGTCCTTTTGGAATTGAGCAGCATTGAACACATAGGTGATTTGGAAAGAGAGAACGATGTATGTGATTTGGAAAGAGAAAACGATGGAGAAGGGCAGAGTGGGTTGGAGGGGGAAAAAAATTAAAGCGAATTGAAATTCATCCTTTTGTAAATGAGAATTGAACACTTAGGTGATTTAGGAAGCCTTAATTGAGTTTCTTAAGTGAAACTAATATCGTTAAGCCACAATTACTCACTTGGAAGTAGAGCAAGATTAGTTTGAGTTAAAATTGGCCACTTAACCTAATGAAGCTTTTAGTTGCCCAAAGTAATTAGTTTCTAGAACAAAAGAGAGCGCCATGGAGAAGGGCGGAGAGAGTTAGGGAGAAACTTTCTTCCTGAGCTCTAAAAGAGAAATTGAGAGAAACGAAAAGGGGAATATGATGAAATTTTAAGAAAATTGAAATTCATCCTTTTGGACTTGAGAATTATTGATTTAGAAAACATGAAATGAGTTCCTTAAGTCAAAGTAATATCGTTATGCTAAAATTACTCAGCAAAATCTCCTCGTTGAAAGATAAGCAAGATTATTTTGAGTCGAACTTGGACACTTAGTTTTTCTGCTGCGTAAAGTGGGGATTAGGTTGTGAGCTTCTCTAGAGAGAGAAAGCTTCCTCCGTTGTTACCCTTGGAGTTCTGAGGTTCCTTAACAGATTCTTGGTCTGGTTTGGGTTAAGTGTTGTGTTATTGCTGAATCTGGTCTTATTTATGTCCAGATTTAGGAGGGTTTGAAGTTTTTCAAGGTCGTTGTTGTCTTCTGATAAAGCTCCGGCCTGCGGATGGTGTTCAAATCATGGTTTGTTGATGTTACTCTGGGATTCGTTGTTCTTCTGGCACATGCTGGACATCTTTCTGGTAAGTGTCTGGTCAAGTTTGTTCTCAGTAGTCTGGTTTGGGTGGTATTGCAGGTGGTCTTGCCGTTCATGGCGGTGGACTCTTCCTCCTAACGTGTTGCTCGGTTTTGTTAGCTTCGTCGGTTCTCTTCCTCATTGAGTCCGAGCTCACTGTCGTTTTTGTGTGAACTGCATTGTTCACGTCGGAGTGGCTTTGTGCCCAGTATTTCTGAGTTTTGTGACTGTGCTGGCGTAGCTACAGTGAGCGTGAAATACTGTAGATGACGATGTTCTGATGAGGTTTGTCGCTGGGTTCTCTTTTCCGACGACGGTCAGGCCGATTTTTTTCTGAGCAGTAGCGTTGCTGTGTTCGGAGACTCGGTGTATTCTTCTACAGTCATCGGTAATAAAGTTATGAGATGGGGTTGAGGGTGGTGTTGAAAATGTAACCATGGTTTTTGGCGTTGGTCTACTCACCGACGGCGTCGTTATTATTGCGGTGCCATCGCTGGTGCCGTGACTCGCCGAGCAGATGGTTTTGTTATTCTGGTGCTCTGCTTCAAATGGGTTCCGTGTTTTCCAGCGTTGGGTTGCTTTCCGACGTCGTTGCGTCTGGGTTGAGGTTGACACAACTCCACGCTGAGGTGGGTTTCACGGTTTTTTTAGGGTCTCGATGGTTTAATGGCATGGGTTATTGGTACTGCGATGGGTGGAGTTCCGACGTCTGGTTCTTGCTCCGGCGTTTGGAGATGGTCGGCATTGCTACTGGTTATGTTCTGAGATGAAGCGTTACAGTCACGTGTGGTCAGCCGTGTGGATTTTTTTTGATCTGTCTGATCAAGAAGTGTATGGGGTACAACATAGCTGAAAAGATGTGTTGGTGTATATATCACCCACGTGGGGTACAGGCCTATTACGCTAGGTGTTGCTTACGTAGGGAAGCATGGAAGGAAACTCAAAATTTGGGTTAAGTGTTGATATGGATGACAGCGTGGTTTGAAGTTCAAGCACATGGGCTGGTTTGTTTTATATTTTATATATGAACATTTATATATAATATATGTGTTGTCAAATACATGGGCCCACAGTTTGCTTGTGCCTCGAGGAGTTTATTTGTTGTTAGGCTTTCAAGGGTAAGCCGATTGATAATGGTGAAAAGGTCACGTGGTTTTTTTTAGGGCCCATGGGGCCCACGGCAAATTGGGTGTTTTTTTGAAGATATTGGTGGGGCCCTTTTGGACTTCATGATAATATTATTATATGGGTCTACTTTCCACGGGTTATGGGCCTATTCTTGGGCTCATAGTAGTTTGGTTTTATGTTGTGCTGGGTCTCGATTTTATTGGTGAGCCCATAAATTTTTGATTAGCCACAATGCAGCGAACCTTTTGTAGTCGGTTATTTCATGATGATTGATCGTGTGATCCTCATGTGACTCAATACGAGGGTGGTTTTGAGCCATCTCCACCAAGAGTGATTGGGGAGTCACTGCTATGGGGAATAGTGGTTCGATTACTAGCCGCGTTAGAGACTGGGAGATGAGCGGGAGGATAGCTACCGGTTTTCTGGTCGCTTCTTGTCTTCAAGTGACCCATCCTAATTGATTGTATTGCCACGCCTGACATGGAGTGAAGGGGACACTGCCGTGGGGTTTGAGGCTTGTAATCTACCAAGGAAGGGACTGGGGGATGTGATGATTGCTCTCATTTTTGTTGAGCGGGACTATTGTTTTTTCACTAAACTTCTCAAGTCCGTTGATTATGGTTGTCTTCATGTGACCCATCCTAATTGATTGTATTGCCACGCCTGACATGGAGTGAAGGGGACACTGCCGTGGGGTTTGAGGCTTGTGATCTACCAAGGAAGGGACTGGGGGATGTGATGATTGCTCTCATTTTTGTTGGCTATGTATTGGTTTGTTGCAGCGGGACTATTGTTTTTTCACTAAACTTCTCAAGTCCGTTGATTATGGTGATTGATTTTGCAGGCTTCATGTGACTCAGCCAGGATCTTTCATGGGATAGATTTTTTCCTTCGTCATAGCTTTGGTTGAGTGGCTAGGATGTCACGGCTATGAGAAGCGTGATACTTATTGGATTCCATGTTTTCATCCGAGGTAGAGACTGGGAGCAAGCGGGGGCAATTATTATTTTTTATTGGTCTTGTTGGGTGTTTAGTTAGTTACATTTGTATTATGTATTTGTCTATAATGTTTTTATGAGTCTGTGATGTGTTTTGTTTATTTGCCTATATATCCACCCCAAGTTTCCTTCTATTATCTCTGATGGTAGGGGTTACTTGGGGACAAAAAGGATATATGGGCAAAGTGGGGTTCTGGGCTTTCTGTTGTTCTTTCGCTTTGCGAGTGTGGTTTTGTTTTAGGATGTCAAGTGGTAGCTTGTGATATTTTTTCTTTTCTATTATTTGTTGTAGGGCGTACCTGGGGTATGCCCCTTGTAAACTTGTACATTTTACAGTCTTTATTTTATGACTTACTTACCCAAAAAATAAAACTTGGACACTTAGGCTGATTAAACTAATAATTGCCTAAGCTAATTAGTTAGTGGAGCAGAAGAGGGAAGGATGGAGAAGGACGGATAGAGTTAGAGAAAAGCTTTCTTCTTGAGTGGTAGAAGAGAAAATTGGAGAAAAGAAAGGGAAATACGATAAAAATGAAAGCAAATTGAAATTCATCCTTTTGTAAATGAGAATTGAACACTTAGGTGATTTAGGAAACCTTAAAAGAGTTTCTTAAGTGAAACTAATATTGTTAAGCTAAAATTACTCACTTGGAATTAGAGCAAGATTAGTTTGAATTAAAATTGGCCGCTTAAGCTAATGAACCTATTAGTTGCCCAAACTAATTGGTTTCTAGAACAAAAGAGATCGCCGTGGAGAAGGGCTGAGAGAGTTAGGGTGAAACTTTCTTCCTGGGCACTAAAAGAGAAAGTGAGAGAAATGAAAGGGGGAATAAGTCACAAATTTTAAGCGAATTGTAACTCACCCTTTTGGAATTGTGAATTGAACACATAGGTGATTTAGAAAGAGACAACGATGGAGAAGGGCGGAGTGAGTTGGAAGGGGAAAAAATATGAAAGTGAATTGAAATTTATCCTTTTGTAAATGAGAATTGGACACTGAGGTGATTTAGGAAGCCTTAAATGAGTTTCTTTAGTGAAACTAATATCGTTAAGTTACAATTACTCACTTGGAAGGAGAGCAAGACTAGTTTGAGTTAAAATTGGCCACTTCAGCTAAGGAAACTATTAGTTGCCCAAACTAATTAGTTTCTAGAACAAAAGAGAGCGCCATGGAGAAGGGCGGAGAGAGTTAGGGAGAAACTTTCTTCCTGAGCGCTAAAAGAGAAAGTGAGAGAAAAGAAAAGGGGAATAGGGCAAAATCCTAGGCGAATTGAAATTCATCCTCTTTTTTTGGGTGAATAAGACATAAAATAAAAAAGACAGAGAACTACACAGCTACAAGGGGCATACCCTAGGACCTAACAGACAACTATACAAACGAATGGAGAACAAGAAAAAACCGCCACCTAAAAGGAATCAAAGCGGGCTGCCAAAATTAAAATAAAGAAAATCAATACATAGAAGGAAACCCCTAAAGATATGTGCATAAGCCGCATACATACGAATGAGGCCATGAACACATCCAACCGAGAACCCAAAACTGAAGTGAAAAATTGTCCATACAGACGACACAACCAAAAGCAACACTGTACTGATAACCTGGCACATCCCACACAGGTAGGCAAAAAGAACAACCATCGCATCTATACCGCCTAACATCCAAACACAGAAATTCAAAACAGAAAAATAACTTAATGAAAGACAAGTGTCCACAAAGGCGCTACAAGCAGCCATCAACACAGAACAGTACCATCTGCCACACGTCTGATTGTCAACAAACCAGCAACTCCAACAGAACTTAATCATTGTAGCGAACCCAAAATCTGAAAAGCCAAGATCTTTTGAAACAACAGGTCTGCAGTCCCCAAAATCTGGACACCGCTGCCAACCCATACAATCCAGGACCTACTAATACATTGTAGTAGACCCTGTAAGAACAGCCATAAGTAAGTACCTCCAGCAGATAAGATACAATCTACTATGAATTAAGTCAGTAACAGTGCCCTCAATATAGGATCTCACACCACTCGACCCACACTTTATGGGCTCACACCACTCGACTTGAGCTTCTTTACCCTGCAAATAAAGAAATATAATATATATTAACATAAACAAATGTGGTGGCTGAATACACTCGACCCTCATGTGAAGTGAAAAATTAATTGCTCTCATCACTCAACCCTCAAAGATATGCATGCATCCACAGTGAACTCTGAACAGACCTGCACAAAACCAAACCATTACGCAAAACACACAGTGTTGCTCACCTACACTCAACCCACATATATGGAACTCACATCACTCAGCAGCCCTCCCATATCTGATAATATGGGGCTTCAATATCGTTGTTGGCAGGTTCCATTGGGCAAGAAACCAGCCGTCACTAGCAGAGCTAAGCAGATTCTTAATGGACAGCATTCTACTTCTCACCATCTGGATTACAGATTTAATAACTACCTCTTCAGGCTTGCATTCTTTGTTAAAAACACGATTATTTCTCTCAATCCAGATGTGGTAAATAGAGCACAAGAAAGCATTGCTAAGAATATTAGCCCTAAGAGAGTTACCCTTGGTCTCTTTTGCCTTCAATAGCACCCCAAACTCTATTGGTAAAACTACACTTGAAGAAGAGATGAGAATGACTTTCTCCAGGGTCAAGGCAAAAAGGGCACTGAGAATGAGGAGATAAACCAAACAGCATTAGCCTATCACCTTTATAACTTGTTATGGATAGCAACCCAGACAATGAAACTGACTTTAGGAATCCTATGAGGGCCCCAAAGGAGTTTATGCCAGCCCACTCTATCAAAACTACGTCTCCAGTGATTCCAAGCTGAGTGAATGGAGAACTTACCATCAGTTGTAAGTTTCCAGGTAACTTGGTCACACTCGAAAGGGTTAGGTTTGCAGCATTTAGGAGTAGATGAGATCAACTCCTGAATTTCCCAAGAATTAGGAATAGGCCACTTCCAAGAATGACCATTGATGATTTGACTGACTTTGGTCTCACTGTTGAGGCAGGAATCATACATAATCCTGTCCCCAAACTTTTTCCATAGAGGACTAAGAGGGTGCCAATTGTCATACCAAAGGAATATAGAATCTCCACAACCAACTTGGTGATTAATTAGAGGAGACATCCAGTCCCTAAGAGACAATATTTTCCTCCAAACCCAGGAAGGGTCAGGGGGGATTTTGACCCTCCAAAAGCTTTTACCCTTGAGTAAATAGGATTTAACCCATTGACACCACATAGACTTCTCGCCACCAGAGAAGAGGAACCAGACATGCTTAGCTATTGCAGCTCTATTCCAGATACCAAGAGATTTAAACCCAAGACCCCCCTCACTTTTAGGAGCACACACAGAATCCCAGGCAATCTTAGCACTATGGGTTTTGAGCTCACTGCCAGACCAAAGGAAAGCTCTAAGAATACTTTCAATCTCCCTAATGACCTTCTTAGGGAGAATAAACAAGGAAGACCAGTAAACTTGCATAGAAAAAAGGATGGATTGGATGAGCTGGCTCCTCCCCGCATAAGACAAGACTCTGTTAGTCCAATTCTTAACTCTTTTGGTGATTCTTTCAATGAGAGGAGCACAATCCGTGGCCCTCAATTTGGTTGTGATAAGGGGAACACCAAGATATTTAACCGGGAGTATGCCCTCTTTGAATTTAGCAATACCAAGAATAGAGGTGCGTAACCCCATCTCACAACCAGAAAAGTAGATATTACTCTTGCTGGGATTAGGGGTAAGGCCCGAGAGGTTAGAAAATTCCTCAAGGCCTTCCATAATAAGATTAACAGTAGGCACATCACCTTTGCTAAAAATCATGAGATCGTCAGCAAAACAAAGATTTATAATCTTAGTTTTCTCACATCTCCAATGGAACTTAAACAAAGGATGCATAGACTTTTCAGCCAAAATTCTAGCAAGGATTTCCATGGCTAGAACAAATAAATAGGGGGACAGAGGATCACCTTGACGCAAACCTCTAGCCCCTTTGAAATAACCATGGAGGCTCCCATTGATGCAAATAGAAAAGGAGGGACTAGAGATGCAAGCCTGTATCCATGAAACCATGACAGGAGGGAAGGACATAGCCTTAAGAATATCGATGATAAATTCCCACCTCACACTGTCATAGGCTTTCATGATGTCCACTTTCATGGCACACTTCGGGGTAGGAGACTTCCTATGATACCCTCTCATAAGCTCCTGGGATAGGAAAATATTGTCAGATATTCTCCTACCTTGAACAAATGCGGATTGAACGGGATCAACAAGATCAGGGAGAACAGTTTTAATCCTGTTTGCAATGATCTTGGCAATGCATTTGTAAATAGTGTTACAGCAAGAGATGGGTCTAAAGTCACCAACTTTAATGGGATTGGGGACCTTAGGAATAAGGGCAATGATGGTACTATTGACTTCGGATAGGAGTTTTCCCGACTCAAAAAAGGTTCTAACAGCTTGGGTGACCTCTCTCCCAACTATATTCCAAGAGCTTTTGAAAAAACCAGCAGAAAAGCCATCAGGGCCAGGGGCCTTATTGGCTTTAAGAGACCAAAAAGTGTCTTTAATCTCTTTATCAGTCACAGGGCTAGCAAGCAACAACGATTGATCAGGAGATATTTTAGACTTAACAAGAGACTGAACTCTATCAAAACCATTATAATGGTCATCAATAGGGGTACCAAATAAACCAGAGAAAAAATCTATGAAAGCATTATGAATGTCCTTAGGTTTTGAAGATTTTTGGCCATCCATCATCTCCAAATTAAGGATTTTTCCCCTATTGATGTTACCCTTAATGGTTTTGAAAAAGAACCTACTATTGTTATCACCCTGACTAAGCCACTGGACTCTAGATTTTTGGTGAGCCAGACTCTCCTCAACAACCAGAAGATCAACATACTTTTTATAACAGATTCTCTCAAGTTGTTGCACAGAAGTATTTCTGGGATCCTTGTCCAACTTACACTGGACAGAGAGGAGCTCTGACCTAGAAGTGTGGACTCTGGTAACAATATCACTAAAGTCTTTAGGATCCTTGTCCAACTTACACTGAGCAGAGAGGAGCTCAGACCTAGAAGTGTGGACTCTGGTAGTAATGTCACTAAAGTCTTTCTTATTCAGAGCCTTTAGAGCAGGTTTCAGATTTTTCAATTTCTAACACACTCTAAACATAGGGACACCATGAATGTATTGGTTCCAAATTGTAGAAACCACGGAGGAGAAATCCTCATGGTCAGCCCAGAAGTCAAAATATTTAAATGGTTTCTTAAAAGAAGTCACCTTATCAGAGATATTAACCACAACAGGGGAGTGATCAGAGATGCTAGAGGGCAGAAAGGTAGCAAATGAGGCAGGGAATGTATCAAGCCAAGTCTCATTTACCAACACTCTGTCAATCTTGGAAGCAATATAATCCCCACTAGTTCTCTTATTAGCCCAAGTTGACAGCCTCCATAGGAGAGATCAACCAGCTCGGCTTGCAAAATATGGGAATTAAACTCCTCTTTATCCTTAGACCAAACAGTAGAACCCCCAGATTTTTCATAAGGAAATCTAATAGCATTAAAGTCTCCTAAAATTACGAGAGGGGTATTGGACTGAGCTTGGGAGACAGTGACCATGTATTCAAAAAGATCTTTCCTAACATCATGTTTATTTTCAGCATAGACAAAACAGACTCTGAACGTATAATCCGTAGTTAGATCATGCACTTCACAAAAAATATACTGATCAGAGTCATGTAACTTTTGAACCTTACAAAAAGCTGAGTCCCAGCAAACACATATCCGCCCAGTTTTAGAAGGTTGTGAGTTTGTCAAAAAAGGCCAGTTGTTTACACCAGATGAAAAAATCTGTTGTTCATTCAAAGCTTTTATTTTAGTTTCCAAAATGCCCAAAATTTTAATGTCTTCATGCAGCAAAAATTTTCTAACTTCTTTATGTCTGTGAGGATTGTTAAATCCTCTAACATTCCATGATGCAATTTTTAAAGACATTGGAAATAACAAAAAAAAATTCAAAAAACCCACAAACCAGATAAAACTGGAATTACCTGCGTTTCTTCCTCTGGCTTTTGTTGCCCTTGCCAGAGGAGTTACCTTTTGCACTTGAGCCTGCTTGGGCTTGTTTGTTAGTATGAAATTTGCCAGGAGTAGATTCCACAAGATTCTCCACTTTAGCCAACAATTCGGTATCATGAGGGAGAACTAAGCTTGTAATTTTTACCAGTTCCTTCTGAAGGGCCACCAAACCATCCATATTATCATCCTTTGACTCATCATCTATTGGGTCCAGCACCTCTCTGTGAGTTTGATCAGATAATTCCTCTGTATTCTCCACCCGAACTTGCATTACTAGGTGGCTCTGCTCTTTCTCAGATTGTTGCACGCCATCCTCATTAGGCTCCTCGTTGTTTACTGTCTCAGTAGCAGTCTCTGGAACACCCACTTTTCTCTTGCCCTTAGCCATAACAGTTTCCCATCCAGGATCAGGATGGTTTTGTACTTCCTTTTGGATGTTAAGAAGAGTCGCAACCTGAGTTTTCACACATCTGGCTGTATCATGCCCAAATGCTATGCAGTGTTCACATTTTGGGGGTAAACCTTGGTATTCAACTTTGACTATGGCTTCTATTCCTTCACAGTCCACCTTAAACATAGCAGGTAGGGTAGATGCTGCTTCTACCTCAACACACACCCTAGCAAAAGACACCCTACTCCCCTGTTCCGTGAGTTGGTCCATAAAAAGGAGAACACCTACAGCACTGGCTATACGACTTAATCCATCACTATCCCAGTATTCGAATGGGACATTAAAGAACTTAGCCCACACAGGGACCTTGGTAGCTTTGTCCTTAGACAGTTTCATCATGCGGGTCCATTTTTTCAAGAACAAGTTGAAACCTCCAATATACCAAGGTCCTCCTTCAAGGACTGAGGTACAACATTCTGGGTTATCAAAAATGAAGAAGCTAAACCCTTCCCCATTAGCTAAAACCTCTTTCAACCCTTTGTTTTTCCATAGACCAAAGGCACTATTTCTCAAGTAATTGTAGGACACCCCTTTATCAAGAAAATACCCAACCAAACACGAATCCCATTTTTCTAAAGGGTTAGGACGGGTGGGTAAGTTCACACTGACATAGCCCTCACTGCGATTAGGAGGCACATACCTGAGAGGAACACTAGATCGAGTAGATGAGGCAGCCACGTCTGCCCAGGTTCGAGTATAAGGACCTCTTCCACCCCCTTGACCTCTACCTCCTCTGCCTCCTCTGAAGTTAAGGTTCACCCCCCTTTGAGGATGCATCTCCTCACGGCCTTCTTCCTCACTTGGAAGAGGAGGGTCTTCTGTAGCTTGTACAACATCTGCAGGGCCCAGATTTACATCTGACTCCTGTCCTTTGGGTAGATCGGACTTGGGTTCGCCATAGCCCTTGGCTTCCTGTCTATTGCGAGCAACCAATATACTGTCTTGGAGATTTTGGAACATCGGGTTATCATCTTCAGTACGATCCGACGAGAAGTCAGGAGAGATCCATCTAGGTTACTAGGTGTCAAGATTGACGGAGAAGGATCTTTCAGCCTTGCCAATCGGTCAGCAACTCTCTGAAAATCTGAAGCCATCAACGGAGTTCTTCGATCTGTTAGGTTTAGGGTTTTTCTCCCACCCTCAGCATCATCGATCTTCTCTGAAAGCTTTGTTGCACCTGCTATTGTCTCAGTATTTTGATCCATTACTGTATCACTCAAGATTTTGAATCTATTCCTCACAAACGCTAGGTTATCACTCAGATTATTCACCGTTGAACCCCCATTCGAACCCATTCGTCTAACCCATTCGTCTTAAGCACTCGTTCTAGGAAACAATTACCCTTCAGTAAGTTCTCTTTTGAAATTCATCCTCTTGGACTGGAGAATTGTACGCATAGGTGATTTAGAAAACATGAAATGAGTTCCCTAAGTTAAAGTAATATCGTTATGCCACAATTACACGGCAAAATCTGCTCCTTGAAAGCTAACCAAGTTTAGTTTGAGTTGAATTTGGCCACTTAAGCTGATTAAGCTAATAATTTAATTGCCTAAGCTAATTAGTTAGTGGATCAGAAGAGAGATGGACGGGGAAGGACAGATAGAGTAAGAGAGAAACTTTCTTCAAAAGTGGTAGAAGAGAAAGTCGGGGAAAAGAATGGAAAATACGATAAAAATGAAAGCGAATTGAAGCTCATCCTTTAGTAAATGAGAATTGAACACTTAGTTGTTTTAGGAAACCTTTTTTTTTTTGGGTGAATAACTTTTAGGAAACCTTAACGTAAGTGAAACCAATATTGTTAAGCCACAATCACTCACTTGGAAGTAGAGCAAGATTAGTTTGTGTTAAAATTGGCCACTTAAGCTAACGAAACTATTAGTTGCCCAAACTAACTAGTTTCTAGAACAAGAGAGCGCCATAAGGAACGGCGGGGAGAGTTAGGGAGAAACTTTCTTCCTGAGCGCTAAAAGAGAAAGTGAGAGAAAAGAAATGGGGAATAGAGCGAAATTTTAAGCGAATTGAAATTCATCCTTTTGGAATTGAGCATTGAACACATAGGTGATTTGGAAAGAGAGAACGATGGAGAAGGGCAGAGTGGGTTGGAGGGGGAAAAAAAATGAAAGCGAATTGAAATTCATCCTTTTGTAAATGAGAATTGAACGCTTAGGTGATTTAGGAAGCCTTAATTGAGTTTCTTGAGTGAAACTAATATCGTTAAGCCACAATTACTCACTTGGAAGTAGAGCAAGATTAGTTTGAGTTAAAATTGGCCACTTAAGCTAATGAAGCTGTTGGTTGCCCAAAGTAATTAGTTTCTAGAACAAAAGAGAGCGCCATGGAGAAGGGCGGAGAGAGTTAGGGAGAAACTTTCTTCCTGAGCGCTAAAAGAGAAAGTGAGAGAAAAGAAATGGGGAATAGAGCGAAATTTTAAGCGAATTGAAATTTATCCTTTTGGAATTGAACATTGAACACAAAGGTGATTTGGAAAGAGAGAACGATGTACGTGATTTAGAAAGAGAGAACGATGGAGAAGGGCAGAGTGGGTTGGAGGGGGAAAAAAAATGAAAGCGAATTGAAATTCATCCTTTTGTAAATGAGAATTGAACACTTAGGTGATTTAGGAAGCCCTAATTGAGTTTCTTAAGTGCAACTAATATCGTTAAGCCACAATTACTCACTTGGAAGTAGAGCAAGATTAGTTTGAGTTAAAATTGGCCACATAAGCTAATGAAGTTGTTAGTTGCCCAAAGTAATTAGTTTCTAGAACAAAAGAGAGCGCCATGGAGAAGGGCAGAGAGAGTTAGGGAGAAACTTTCTTCCTGAGCGCTAAAAGAGAAAGTGAGAGAAACGAAAAGGGGAATAGGATGAAATTTTAAGCAAATTGAAATTCATCCTTTTGGACTTGAGAATTGTACACATAGGTGATTTAGAAAACATGAAATGAGTTTCTTAAGTCAAAGTAATATCGTTATGCTAAAATTACTCAGCAAAATCTCCTCACTGAAAGATAAGCAAGATTAGTTTGAGTCGAACTTGGACACTTAGGCTGATTAAACTAATAATTGCCTAAGCCAGTTAGTCAGTGGAGCAGAAGCGGGAAGGATGGAGAAGGACGGATAGAGTTAGAGAAAAGCTTTCTTCTTGAGTGGTAGAAGAGAAAATTCGAGAAAAGAAAGGGAAATACGATAATTGGGCTCCGTTTTATATGGTCCCACTGTGTTTATTTTGTGTTGTAAAAGAATTTTGGGCTATTTTTGTGGAGTAAGGAGCCGAAATCTGGAGTGCATGGCGTGGGTTATTGGGGCCCACTTGGATTTATTTTGAAAAATTTCTTTTGTTTAGTCTCTCTGCAGCGGGTCTTTTTTAGTTGATTACTTTATGATGATTGATCGTGTGATCCTCAAGTGACTCGATATGAGGGTGGTTTTGAGCCATCTCCGCCAAGAGTGATTGGGGAGTCACTGCTATGGGGAATAGTGGTTCGATAACTATCCGAGTTAGAGACTGGGAGATGAGCGGGAGGATAGCTACCGGTTTTCTGGTCGCTTCTTGTCTTCATGTGACCCATCATAATTGATCGTGTTGCCACGCTTGACATGGAGTGAAGGGCACACTGCCGTGGGGTTTGAGGCTTATGATCTACTAAGGAAGGGACTGGGGGATGTGATGATTGCTCTCATGATTTCGTTGGCTATGTATTGGTCTGTTGCTGTGGGGCTATTGTTTGTCACTACAACTCCCAAGACCGTTGATTATGGTTACTGATCGTGCTAGCTTCATGTGACTTTGTTGTGATTCCTCATGGAGTAGACTTTTTCCTCTGTCATGACTTTGGTTAAGTGGCTAGGATGTCACGGTTGTGAGGAGTGGGTTGCTTATTGGACTCCATGCGTTTATCTACAGTGGGTCTCTTTTTCGGCAGCACATAGGGAAGTGGGGACCGTGGTCATCTTTATATATATATATATATATATTTAATATATATTTATATATTAGCTGGGCTTTTTGATTAAGTGGGTTTGAATGGTTAAATCGGTGAGAAGCACTTGGACTGGCCTCCATTTCAGTGGGCATTTTGTTGATTTGTTTGCTTGGGCTAGGTATTGTTTGGTAGTGGCGGTGGGCCCCTTGTTTGACCCGCAGGATTATTTTTTTATAGTATTTGTTTATAATTAGTTTTTTATTATTTGCTTTAGTCCCCCCACATTTGGGGGGCGTGAGGTTTTATTGTATTACCTGGCGTATGCCCCTTGTAAATGTGTAAGTTTTTTGTCTTTAATTTATGACTTACCCACCCAAAAAAAAGTAAATGAGAATTGGACACGGAGGTGATTTAGGAAGCCTTAAATGAGTTTCTTTAGTGAAACTAATATCGTTAAGTTACAATTACTCACTTGGAAGGAGAGCAAGACTAGTTTGAGTTAAAATTGGCCACTTCAGCTAAGGAAACTATTAGTTGCCCAAACTAATTAGTTTCTAAAACAAAAGAGAGCGCCATGGAGAAGGGCGGAGAGAGTTAGGGAGAAACTTTCTTCCTGAGCGCTAAAAGAGAAAGTGAGAGAAAAGAAAAGGGGAATAGGGCAAAATCCTAGGCGAATTGAAATTCATCCTCGTGGACTGGAGAATTGTACGCTTAGGTGATTTAGAAAACATGAAATGAGTTCCCCCCTTTGCTAAGGAAAGTATTAGTTGCCCAAACTGATTAGTTTCTAGAACAAAAGAGAGCGCCATGGAGAAGGGCGGAGAGAGTTAGGGAGAAACTTTCTTCCTGAGCGCTAAAAGAGAAAGTGAGAGAAAAGAAAAGGGAAATAGGGCAAAATCCTAGGCGAATTGAAATTCATCCTCGTGGACTGGAGAATTGTACGCATAGGTGATTTAGAAAACATGAAATGAATTCCCTAAGTTAAAGTAATATCGTTATGCCAAGTTTAGTTTGAGTTGAATTTGGCCACTTAAGCTGATTAAGCTAATAATTTTATTGCCTAAGCTAATTAGTTAGTGGATCAGGAACATAGGAATGAATGTAATGGAATAAGGGGAAAAAAGCAGAGCCTCTCTCTCTAGAATCTAGAGGGAGAAAGCTCCCCCCGGAGGTGTTTCATGGCGTTGATGTTCTGGTGCTGTTTCAGGCCAGCTTTTTAAGTCGTCTACCCATTAATTTGAGTGTGAGTGAGTATGTTTTCTAGGCTGTAAAGCTTCGGCAGAGAGGTTGAGTGGTGTGTTTCTTCATCTTTGTGTCAAAAATGGGGATTTTATGATTTTTTTGTTGATTCAGTCCGGCTATGTCATGGCTGGTTTGGGTTTCTTGGTGGTTTTCATTCCTGGGTTATCGTACTCTAGGTTTGTGTGTTATACTCGGGTGACCAATGTCCATGTGCTGGGTTCATGGTTCAGTGTCCAAGTGTTGGGTTCATGATTCTCTGCTTCTCTGAGAATCGTAGGAGAGAAAGAATCGCATGTAATGGTGTCATTGTTGGTCTTGCAGATTGGCAGTGGTGGTCCGACCGGTTCGTGCACTGGATTATGGCTCTGTTTCATGGTGTGCTATTTGGTTTATTTCGGCAGTGCTTCTGAGGTTGGAACCTCTCTCCCTAGTTCTAGAGAGAGAAGGTTTATGTAAATGGGTGTGAAATCTGGGTTGATGAGCTTCGGTTGTGGGTGGCGCTATGGCCGTTTCGTTCAGTAAACTCAGGTTCAATAACTTTGGATGCTTGGTGGGTCTTCCGGTGGGGTTCTGCGGGTTGGCTGCCTTGGTTCATTTTTTCGGTTAATGGGTATTTCCTAGAGTGCTCTTGTTTTGGGTTGTGTCATCGTGTTTTGTCGTCAGTGGTTCCACTGTTTGGCATGGCATGTGTTGGCCGGCGGTGCTGGGTTTATCATTTGCGTCCTGTTTGTGAGATTTTTGACAATGGCGTTTCTTTGCCATGATCAAGGAGCTTCGGATGTGTGTCAGTGTAGTTGCTATGGTAACGATGGACCATTTAATTCCCAGTGCTGAGTTCTGGGTTGTGTTGCTCACCGTCGTCATAGAGAAATGTTGACAATGGAAGTGGGCGAAGCTTGGTGTGTGTTTCACTCTCTCTTTGCGTATGGTTTTTGGTTGGTTGTGCGTGGTTTCACGCTCGTAGGGTTTGCGTGTACGGGTTTCCCGTGCAAGGTGTTTCTATGACGTAGGTTGGTCATTCACGTGGGTTTTCTACAACTGCTATGACGTGGTTTCAGATGTGGCCAGTTGTATACAGCTTGTTTATTGGGAATGTAACTGCTTTAGGGGCTATCACCTAACCACGTGGGT